CACACACACACACACACACACACACACACACACACACACACACACACACACACACACGTTTGTGAGGGTTACACCAGTTCAGTGTGTGTAGTAATTATCCCTGCCACTTAGGGGCAGCATCTACATAACCTTAACCCTAACCTCACCTCCACTCCTCACCCTGCAGGGTGACCCGAGCAGAGGAGGAGGAGGAGGAGGAGGGGCGAGGAAGCACAGGATGCTGAGGGATCACTGCTGCTAACTTTTCATTAATCACTGCTTCACCAAACACCTCTGTGGAAGACGCTCTGCTCTAATGGGCGTTAAGGACAAATATTCTGAATGGCTGGGGTTTTGAATGAACAGAGACGTTGTGGTTTAGTATCTGCAGTCAGTGAAGTTCATATAACTTGGCATAATCTGCCTGTAACTAGTAAGGGCATTCCAACAGCTTCATAATGTACTTGGACAAATTCTGGGACTTCGARGGTTAAAACTCAGAGCAGCAAATGTTAAAAAAAATTCAGATTTTTAGTTCCCAAACCCTGGTCAAGTTTCAAACAGAACAGATCCCAAAACTGCAGCGTTGTATATCTCCACACAGCAGACAGGTGTGGGCCAGATCTGGTGTCAGGCTGGCACTGCTGATACGGCAAGTGGTTTGTCAACCAGATTGTGGGCCAGGTCTGGCAACGATGGCACTGCTTTAAAGAAGGAATGCCACAACTGGGCCAGTTGTTGTTTGGTATATGTGTTGCTGGCCCATGCGTGGACCACGTCTAGGCCACCACAGGGCTGTCCTTTCCGTTATCTGGTATGGGCATGTGGGTCATAACTGGGCCAGACTAAAATTGCCATTTTAGTCTTTACTCTTTTAGTTAAACTACAAAATAATAAATAAATAAATATGTACAAGTGTATGAAAATGTACGAATATTTTTTGTGTCATTAAACATTTTATAAAGATAAGTTTTTAATTTACCTATTAAATGTTCAGTGAACTGTGGTCTGAAACATTCTGGTAAAGTTTGCTGTTATAATATAGCCCATTATTACTGCTACATTTTCTGAATAACCTTAAGAGAATAGTAAATATTGTATCTGTTGTTGACAGCTTATTGTCTTTCAAGTGGGGGCCACTAGGGGGGCCTCAGAAAGCTGGGGGTAAGATACGATAAAAATTCAAAATTAAAAAAATAAATTTAATGTTTTAAATCATTATCATTAAATCAAATGTTTTTCAATCATTTTATGATATAATTTATAAAAAAWTATTGAAATGTTATTTAAGAGAACTTTAAGACAGCTATGATTTATTTTTTTAGTTTATCAGTAGGAATACAGCACTTAAAACATGTTATTTAATTAAATTTGCATGTTTAAAATGTAGTAATTTTTGAATAGTGAATAAAAGTGAGAAAAAAACCTTTTAAAAGTTGGTGTTTCTTTACCCAGTCTGTAGCACTGTTTGTGGGTTGACAAGAGCAGTCCCCAGCCAGAAACTAATGCTGTTTGGGGGGCCATGGGTTGGAAACCTTATTAAACAACCTCAGCTTAGAGAAATAGTTTAATCCTGACCAGATTAACAAGCTAACACCTACTCCATGCAATGCCAGGACCACAGTGGACTGCTGCAACTTTACAGCCACTCCAATTTTAAATTCCACAACGGCTCATGTGGATGGTATCTTATAAACCTTTTTACTGCTGTCAGTTTCACATTACAGGCTTATTTCAACAGAATATTATGATACTACTGCTGGAAATAACCGGTGTTGCACCAGAYGTGCTACAGCTATTTGTACTTGCAAATAACCAGAATTACATGTATATCTACTACAGGTAAGATAATAACTGCTTATTAACATTCCACTTCAAATGAACCTTTCATTTTGTTATTTCTCACTAATTAAACTGTTTCTCCAATCCCCCCGCCCCATGATCCYGTTCCTTCATCTGATTTATCTTGCCATCAACTACGTGTGGCTCCTGCAACACACACACACACACACGAGTGGAGGTTCTTAGGGGCCAAACTGCACCCTGTAGTGTTTGACACCTGCTCACCAACTGGGTGAGCGCTAACCCTGCAGAATCTCTAATCCTGGTGATTGGTGCATTAATGTGTGTGGAGAAAAGAGACTGTCAGAACCTTACCTTCCGTCTCTCCCTCTCTGGGTTGAAGGTTCCTAACCATGACTGCATCTGTAGACACATAATAAAAAGAAAGTGTGAGGGCAATTATTTAGGGTAAAAAAAATTAAGTGACTTTTTTTCCCCAGAGAGGAATGTTTAGAGGTCAGTGCCTGCAGTGACAAGCTGGAACAAATATCACATTGGCTATCATGCCAATGCAAAATCCCTCCACCCTCTCACACAGCCTTACTAAATTGCCCAATTCACACCAGAGCGCCGAGCTTAGAGGCAAGAGGGGAGCACTTAAACAGCTCCCAGCGTCTCACTAAAACGAATCAGCTCCAGTGCACACAATCTGACGGGTGAACAAGAAAACAAGGGGCACAGAGGAAAAAAGAAGAGAGAAATTTTTCTGGAAAAAAAAGTTTCATTGAAAGAGGAAAAGAGCAGAGCGAATGCTGCAGATGTGAGATCTCGGCAACTAACGTGGGAATACTTGTTTCGCTCTTCCTCTGTGTCCTCCCTCAAGGGATTGGAGGGAAAATGTCAACAGGCACGTGCAGACACACACACACACACACACACACAAGATCATGATTTGTAACCGGGGGGAGCAGCGGGCACAGAAAGTCAGAGGGTTCATGTGACCCACGAACATCGGAGATAAAACTCAGGAGGTCCTCTGTGAGCTTCATGCACAAAAAGGCAGCATGAACAATATGCACTAACAGCTCCTCTGTTCTGCCATTTATTAACTCAATGTTGCCATGGTTTCTCTGCGCTGACGTGATTGTCATTGTAAATCCATGTGTGGCTGTTTTTGTGCAGCATGAGCGAGAGAAAAATATATAAATAAAAAAAGGGTAGCCATTTGGTCATTAGACTGGACCTGTTCCACAGCAGCCCTCTTGCTATCCACCTGAGCACCACTATCCATCACTATCAGCAAACCCTGATAATAAGTGGCAATATAATTAGGCTTCCGTCAGGTTTCCCATGAACATATGGGCTTTTATTTCAGGCTCTCTTTAAGCAATAGTTCAGATGTTTTAGTGTGAGTGTTTTGTGAAAAAAGGTTGTGAACAATTAGTATCTTACCTGTTATAGACGGCTCTTTGAACAACCTCATCTTGGAGTTTAATTTGTAATGAATTGACGAGCTAATGGCTAGTTCAAATGGGGCAAAGAGAAACTGAAATTTACGTTGTCTTAAAAATTCAACTAAAAAAACGGATTGCTGTTCATGTGAATTCTTATTTAGAAACCTTTACATCTCCACCCACTTTGCATTGAACTGCATAGAATTTCCATTATTTTAAGCAAGAACATTCAATGTAATAAAAAACTGATAGTGATGTACAGCAGGGGTTCCCAAACTTTTCCATGCGATGGCCCCCCAAACATCATTATCTGGAATTTGAAAAAATTTGAGATTCATTAATTGAAGATGGCAGCAATCCACTTTAGCCTGTAGTGGGTCAAAATTTAACTTGCTATTTCCAAGCTAATGCTGTTCAAAATATAGCTACAACAATTAAGATGCTAATTGTTCAAATTCCTTTTATATAAACCCACCTAAAAAGATCTGAAGTAATCCTTTAAGGTACAGCACTGAGGAGAAACTTAGCCGGCTCGTGTTAAAAGGTGCATGTGCATATTTAGAACAATCCTACAGCCACTTTTCCAAATGTGAATCTTTAAATTTATTTTTGTTCTTATGAGCACTAAGATAAAAAAAAATAGATTCTGTAAATCAATGATTCACTTAGTTTTAAGCCCTGTCTTCCTTATCTTTTGTTTAGGAAGTGTGAAAACTCTGTCCGGTGAACATCCCACCTCTCTTCTGCTTTATCCTTTTCTGTGGCGAGTCGCCACGTACCCTGGTTTCAAAGCTTGTGAAATTCTTTCAAGTGAGACAGCCTCCAGCCGAAACGAGATAAAGCTTGAGCTCTTCATAAATATGATAGGGAAGGCAAAAAAMTATATGCCTATATATCAGGAAAAAAGGGGGAATGATGGACACTGAGCAAACGAGACAAACAAATGCAAAAAAGGAAATGAGGAAGGTGGAAAACAGATGCGGAGATGAGAAGAAAGAGGGAGAAACGGCCGAACGCTGTGAGATGAATGAGTTATGAGATGCAGCCACATTCATTCCCCCTCGTTATCACAGTCATGATAAAGAGCCGTGTAGCCTCTTTTCCCTTTTTTTGCCCCTCAGCTACCTGTGTGTGTGTGTGTGTGTGTGTGTGTGTGTGTGTGTGTGTGTGTGTGTGTGTGTGTGTGTGTGTGTCTGCTGTCGTCTCTGTGCTACCTGGTTATCTGCAGAATCTCTCTCACTCCATCGCCGCCCAAAGAAAGAATGCCAACATTCATGATAAAACTTCATTGTGAGTCTTATGAGGTTTCAGGCTGCTGCTCTTTTACTTTCTTTTTGTATTAGCTGAGTCACATCAAGAAGGAAGTGGGTGGGTGGGGGGGTTTAGATTTGAAAACTACAGGTGCTTGCTTCAAGGAAATGGCAGCTCTGCAACATCTATATGTAATGTTACACACAACTTCATGTGAAAAGCACAAAACCAAAAATCAGTTCATCACCAGACCAGGTTAACAGAGTTTAAAATGTTGAAAAACAAACCAATCTACATTTCAGGAAGACAAAACTGTCTACCAACAGCGTTTTTTTTTTAAAGAAATCCTCACATCAAAGAAACAGGATCCATTGAGGATGATAAATAAATAAAAAGCATATTGCTCGAGCAACAGTGTCTCTGATTTCTCAGCATGAAAAATACATTTAAATGTTCAAACTCGATTCCAAAAACGCTTTATTATTTGAGCAATAATTAGAAGCAAAGACCCTGGTGACCTCCAGTTTATTTTGTCTAAAAGCCAAAAGCTTTTCTTTTCACCCCTAGAAAACAGAAAAAAAAATCTAATTAATTTGTCTTTTTTTTTCAAAACTGTCTTTTTAAAAACAATCTAGGCTGATTGCAATCTGTTTATTAGTCTAGTTATGACCTTGAACAAGTGTATTTACAAACAAAATGAGTTGAAAGTAAACTTTTGTGAACACGTTGCAACTTTAGCATTAATTACTCACTCATAATTTTAACCTGCCTACAAACAGCAGCTTTAACATCTTTGGTTTTTACGACCAAATAAATTAAATGAGACAATCTGCCTAAAATGCTGGCTTGGGTCCAACTTGAGCTTTTTTCATTTTGACTCCATTAGAGGTTGGAGATCCGGGGAGTCTCTTAGGTTAAATGCAATGACAAACACAAATAAGCTCAAATTCATGTGTGCTGGTCCTGCTAGGTTGAGCACTCACCCTGTTATTGGCCACACAGATGATTCTGGCGTAGCAGCAGATCATCAGGAAGATGAGGCTGAAAAGAGGCACGTACCATCTGGAATGCAAAAGAGACAAACCATCAGTTACCTAAAATGAGCAGTGGAAATAAGAACATAATTACTGCTTGGGTTTTAATAAGCCTCCTTGTTGACTTGCTTCAGAAAAAATAACGAGAAAAAAAATCTTAAACTCACAGAATTTAGTTTTATTTATAACGAGCATGACCAGCATTATATGTCTTAAAATACTACAACAAAATAAAACTGTAAACAGAGCAATTAATGTGTTAAAATACTAACAGATTAACTCTGGACAACAAAAAAATCCTTTAATAAGATTCTTTCAAGAGGGCTTTCATTAGAAAAGGCCATTGTTTTGTAATTAGACTCTTATAATTGGACATAGTCTCAGGTTACTTTAACTTGTGCTTCAAACGTGAAACCTAACAACGTGATTTTGCTCACAACATCATTAAAAACCTGTATCGTAATTAAGAGAAGGCTTAATCACAGAGTATGACGACAGCAGCATCACTTGAAGGTATGCAGTTCCACCACCTTATTTGCATGCCAAGGTTTTAAACAAAAAAAACTCAGTAGGTCTTGGAATGAAGCTTTACCACACCAAATCTGAGCTCAAGATCGATAAAATTAAAGGAGTTGAGGCCATTTTTGTGTTTGATAAAATCAGTTAGCTGTGGTCGCCATCCTGAACAGGGTTGACTCTAAAGGTTCGTCAGCTGTACATCCAACGATTACTTTCTGAAAGTAATCACTGAATGGAAATACCATGATGGTAAAACTAATAAGAATGGTATGTGTCTTGGTGTTCAGCCTCATATTTGTTTGGCCTCTTGTTCAGCTGTCTGCTCAGCAACCCTTTTGTTCACTCTCAAAGCTTCCTTTCAGGGTGCAGCAAAGATACCTAAAATCCTACAGGACACACAGTTTCCTCAGCACCAAAAGGTAGAGACACAGTTAGAAACTGGATGGTGAACATAGGGTGACCAGATCTTGAAAAAATGAATTTGGGACAAAGTGGATGCTAATGAGGGACAATGTGGAACACTTCACCAATGCTATGATGTCATAACTTTGAAATAATTTTAAATTTCACWTTATATTAATTATTCTCTGCTTTGCATGTTAGTGAACAACATAGAGCTGAGCGGTATACTGGTTCGTACAAAAACTGGTCTTTATTTTTGTTATGAACATTCACAATACCAGATTATTGGTTTTAATAGCCTGAACACCAGTGGTGGGCACCAGTCCCCTAAAGCGCAAATGCGCTAATTGCAGAGCTAAATTTCTCCTTTGCGTTTTAGGCACTTTCTAAATTTAGAATTGAGTAGCGCTAATCGCAAATAATGTTCCACATTCGATCGTCGATTTCATCCAAAGTAAGGAGAAAGAGTCCTGTAACTCGCTAYGCTTTGTAGCCACATTAAAACTTTGTCATCATTTTCTTGAACACTGGAGGGGAAAGCCATCTCTTCTTGACACAATGGAGCTTGACTGTGTGGAAACTGTGACCCCTCACATAACATTGCGTTCACAGAGCTTTATACTCTGACTTACTGTCCTTCTGGGTGACAGTTTTCATTTAGTAGAGACTGTTCCCACAACTCTTTGCGTGGCAGGAAGCAGTTGGAGCTTCTTCATTGGGCAACAATCCACCTGCGGTTCTGATCTGCAGAACCACGTTCAGCTGTGCAGTTTGTACCTCCTTTCTGAGGGACACTGCAGCAATAAATATTAAATAAATAAATGAATAATAAAGAAAGAAACAAGGAACACTTTAAATTCACGTGCTTATTTTGAAAAGAACGTGTTCCTGTTTGTCCTGTAGCCTACCCAGAATGTTTTGCTTCAGTTTTACAACAAACCGTTTAAAATTACGAATATATCTGCATGTTTTCTTACCAAAGCCCTACCATAACGTAAGAAAAGGACCGAGAAGAAGCAGAACTAGCAATCCACAACTATTTTTTGTTTTAACACAATGATTTAAAAGTCTGTTTCGACCAATCACCTCCCCACTTTGTGCCGACATGTGCCAATCTGTGAAAGAAAATGATCTTACCACTAGATGGTAGTTAAGTGCTGACTTGTCTCTTACCTGAATGTTTTCTGGTAAACCGAGATAATCTTGAGATTTATATTTAGGTACCACTAAGTTTTATTGATCATATGGGCTTTTGAATTTGCGGACCTAAATAAACTGACTAGCGCTTTAGAAACTGTGCAACTAAAATTTGAATTAGCGCTGCCCACCACTGGCTGAACACGTTCAGAACGTTACGAGATGCAAGCCAGTAAACTGTTTCTTGGGGAACACTCTTCAGTGCAGCACCGCTGAACGTGCATGCAGGAAAGTGTCAACCTCTTCTTCCAAAATCCTACCTAAAAGTCTACTGACAGGTATTCACAACTCATTTTTTTTACCACAATACTCCAAGCGCTAACAGATCGTGCCAGAAATTGGATGAGATTGCACATCATGCTATTTTTAAGGTCTGACCAAAATATCTAACTTTGTGATTTCTCAACTTCAAACGACCTTAGTCTAAACACTGCTATGAATGGTGATGGGCAATGTGCATTCTTTTAGAAATACGTAAGCCTTTTATTAAAATTAGTTGCTGCTAAAGATGAAATTTACATAAAGTGCATTTAATTGGCTCTAAGACTGATTTACATTATGAGGGCTGAGAACTGTTTGCTGAGAAGTTGGCTAAAAAGATGATTATGAGTATTGAGGGTATGACTTGTTGAAATTAGTGTTTCTGGTCAGCAATGGGCCACATAACATTTTTTTATATAAAAGATGTGCAGAGGACCCAGAAGATGTGAATTGACAGCAAGGAGAGGAAAAGCCCCGACTCAGCACCTCTGGACCTCACAGTTCTCATTGTGCCGAGAGGTAGAACAAAAAAAGATTATGCCGGCACAGTGACAATATCAGTAATGCATCGCACTCCTATGGGACCGGGGTTTGCCAATCACAGGCGGCGTGGGTGAATAATATGTCAGGCATTTTCGGAGCCGGATGAAAGGGAGTGAGACGAGAAGAGGAAATGAGACGATGGCTTTTGTTGGAGTGGCAGCCTTGTGTTGCGCAACCTCTTAGGAGGTGATGTAAGCTCGGAGGAGTTTCAACCTCTCCCTGTAACCACGAAACAGGTCTTTGTCTTGCTTTGACAGACAGGTTCCTGGCCGCCACTTCTCCACTCAGCCTTAGCAACTCACGCCATGTAATCATGACTGCGCTGCTCCACGTCTCGTGAGAACTTGGCACTGACAAAATGCATCCAATAGTGAGTGAGTTAGTGAAGAGGATAGCAATGAAAAGTTATGAGAGGGAAATGGTAAACTGACATTTAATACAAAGAGAGCGATTGAATTTGTCCCTGACCTATAAACGTGTGGCGCACACTTTCAAATGAAAATGAATCGGGGAATAAATGACCAAATAGCCTTGGCATGTGTGCTACAAAGTGCATCTTTTTAAGGCATCTCAAAAGGCAAATACTGAGTCCTTGGCCTAATTTAGACTCATCTTCAATGCCCGAGGTCTAAAAGAAGCTCACCGAGTTCAACTTTTTTACTGGCAGGAGAAATCTGGGGCGGCAGGCGTTCATTTAAGTGCAGCACCGAAGGAAGAATCTGCATCTTGCACGATCGTGCCTTCAAATCTAATAAAGAAAATAAACAAGCCGAGCACGGTCTCCGCCTCCCGAGTGCGCATGTGTGCATCCACGCAGGTTCAATAACGGCATGGGACAATGATGAAAGCGTTTCAGGGGGAGACATGTGCAAGCATCACCTCAATGTGATTTAATAACCTGCTCTCTGGAATAAACAGCGTCCAATTACGCCAGCGCCCGTCCCGTTAATGATGGAAAGACGAGCTGGGGGAGGGGGGGTTGTGGGGAGG